AAATGGAGCATAGTTACTATTGAAACCTAGATGATAGATTGATAGAAGAACAGTGACGTTTTTAAGCTAGCCCCGATAATTAGCTATTATTATTATTGTTATATATATATATATGATTATTTGTTACCATTTAATTATTGGTTGAGTGTCAATTATATATCGTATTCTTGAATCCTCTCTCTCTCTCTCTCTCTCTCTCTCTCTCTCTCTCTCTCGTGGAACAAAATACTCATAAATATGTGGTATGTGTCAGGTTTCTGTTTTGGGACAAATCTTCTGCAATACTACCTTCTCCAATCATCAGACAACCTCTAGTTCTTTTTAATGATAGTATCTCCGATCCTAATTACTAATTTTAAAAGTTACAGCAAGAACAAGGCTAAAAAGAGAAAAAAAATTCATAATATAATAATATAATAATCATTAATATAATAATATAATGTAATATTAATGTAATATTAACAGAAACCGTGCACTAACAGTTTGCGCTTAAATTTACTAAAATCTACAGTCTTTCTAAAGTGGTCAGGGAGGGAGTTCCAGTACTGCTTCGACAACCCTTTGTTCAGCAAAACACCTTTCAGTATCAATCGGACTAATTAGAAAGTATTGAAAACAGAAAGACCAGGATAAAAGAAGAACCAAATTTTTTTAAAGAAAATGTTTATTAAACTAACAAGATTGCTAATGACTCTGTACCCACCAGTATACAAATAATCGATATAATGCTTTTGTACTCTAAAAATGTCCCAATTGCATTTCAACCTAAGCTGCCTGAATAATAGGAAATTTGAAGAAAAATTTCATTGATTTCTTCCAATTTTTCTACGAATTCAATGCAGAAAATTTCATGCTATGCGCTATCCCTGAGAGAAATTTCAAGGGATTGAGGCCCGTATTTTAAATAATGCTTCATAGCTCTTTCTTTAATTCTCGCCACAAAGCGTTGATGGCGTGAACCGATGGTATAAACATGCATGCTTCCAGGCCAATAAAAGGTCATAAAATCATTTTATGGGTAACCGACTAAGTAAGTTAAGCCAATCCTTACTAAACTGATTAGTAGGATGACTAGGGTTTTCAGCTAATTGAACTGTAGAGAGCGATCACGATCTTGCGTCAGTGACTATCATTTGGGGAAGCACGTTTAGAGATTAGAATGCGAAGCTAACAAACCAGTAGTTATCCTTTTACTGACAATGTTCTTTGCGTTGACAATAGTAAGAGCTGGAAACTTTCCAATGATGATCAACCTAGACTCATATTCTTACAACGAGTTAATTCAAGATGAAGATAAATAAGCCGACTGCGGTAAAAAGCGAACAGGCAACGACATGTTGTCTATTTCAAGTGTGACTTCCGTTTTCAGTTCATACGAGCTGACTAATTCAAAAGATGATTTTCAGTGGTGGGTTCAAACTTTTATGGTATTCGGCAAACAAGTTATCTTTCATTTACACTTGTACGCTTTACTTAAGCCAATCCTGAACATTATTCTCTCATCCGCAGCTAATGTAAGTTTCATTTTAGTGACTAAAGACTGAAGTCATACAGTGCGAAGTGTGATTTTTGAAGTTCACTAGGAATAGGTAATTACATGACAGACGCAAGTTGGACAAGTTATGTAACTTTCGATTGCGGAAAACTTTCTTTTCCAAACGAAAAATTGGAATACATGTATTCAGAAAGCTTGCCTCTTCGACACCATTCATTGTTAATGAGTGGTGGTGAATAGTGCGTGAATGTCCGTAACTCTTCGCATAACGCAAGTATATCGTTTACCCGGCCGGTTGCCAACTTAGTGCGATGCATTACCACCTCTTCTGAGCAGGATTGAAGCTGAAAGTTCGTTGCCTGAGCAGAATGCTGAGCATAAAATGCGATTTTCCTGGTTTATCACGTAGAAGAAGTGGATTCCACCTCACGGAAGCTTTAAGCTCAACTTTTTGCACAACTTCCTTAAAAAAGATCACTTCGTATCCATGACTACCTTTACAAACACGCATCCTCATCTAACAGCAGAATGAAAACAAAGAAGAAATAAATGAAAAATTTGTTACAGCTTCATAATGTTTCCTTAATGGCATATAATACACTTCGAGTAAGGAACTGTTTTTGGTTTTAATTGTTTGTCTCACAGTCTTACACATTTAAGACGCCGTGGAAACCTCAGACGGTTTCTCTGATTATGATATCAATCGAAGTTTTTTCTCCCTTTTCAAAATCGATTTTCAAATGTTTTCATTTCCACCTTCTTTCTTCTGAAACTTACCACGCAATACGTAAGAAGAGAAAAAAAAATTACGGCATTGATAAACAACACAAATAGTTTCACACTGTGGATTAGATCCCAAATGGACCGAGGGCAAAGGTTCAGTTTCCGACGTCGTAATGTTGTTAGCGTGAAGTACGTCCGTAATCGCATTGCACAACAAACTGTGAACAGTCGCCTGCCCTGTTGGCGAATAAGAACATCACTCAACATTGTGAAAAAAACCTCTTTAGAATTGCCGTCCCTGCCGGCCAAAAACGTTCGTGTTACTTGAATTTCGATATCTCTCATAATGTGTAAACGGTATTCTCTAATACGTAGAAGAATGCAATGGTGATTAATTCTAGTCATTTATATCTGTCTGTTTGGCTGCGGTGAAAGTCATGTGTTCAACTTTGTTACGTTATAAGTGGGGGCAATTAAACCGTACATGCATGATAACGAAAGGGACACTCAGGAGAAATTCACGAGACAAAGAAGCAGTTAGACAAACTTCTTGAAGACGGTCTTTACTTAGAGATGACGCAGTTGTTGCGATCTGTTACAAATATTGTAACGACGTAGTATCCCGATGGTCGAGAAACCTGTTTTCTTTATTTGTACATCTTAGTAGAACATCGCGCAAATTGTGACGTCATAATAACATAATTTATGACACTCTCCCGAGCCGATTAGATAAGAAACAGTATGGAATGATTAGCAAAGGATAAATGTTTAAGAATAGTATCGTAATGAATCTGATATCGTTCATGTCAAGTATTCATTTCTGATTGTTCCCGGATTCTATTATCATTATTAAGTTATTACTTATCATCAGAGGGGGGAGGTCAGCCGTCTATAACAAAAGATAGAGGACATACTATAGAAAATTGATTGGCAATGAAGGGGGGGGGGGAATACACGTTAAAAATAAACAAACGTCTCAACAGCGTCTGACAACTGAAAATAAAATCGTGTTTCCCAGCCACCCAAATTGCAATTTCTATATTTTTCTATATTTTTTTTTTCTCTGAAAACTATGGTTTACGTGTGACGTTTTCTCTCATTTTTGTCTGTCTTTGCATAGAACTTTTGGACTAATAGGCATGAAACATACGCTTGTAAATTCATGTATCTTTGATAGATTGTTTCACTTGATTTAGAGAAAGGCAAATTTCATGGTAGTGGAAAATTCTAAGTTTGTTTATACATTTAGAGGTTTGTCCCTCCGGAATTACAAAACAGCTGAAACCAGTGTTCCAGTAAGAACGCTCCTGTCCAAAGTTCTTTCTATTTCGATTTTGAAACTAAATGCTTTAAACATGATAAAAAAAATAGCGCGAGAAACGTTTATGCCACATTAAAAGCACTGTTATACATCTTAAGTTCTTGAAGATACATAGTTGTGTTACTTTCGTATAATTAAAGGAACAATTTTTTAACTTATCTTTAAAAGTTAACTCAGTAATAAGAATAAATCTAACTAGACTTCAGACTGAGACTGGTAGTCAATCCGTGCCTTTTATAAACTCGTTAGGCGGTGTTACTAACTGAAATCTTCGTCTCTACTCTGTTCCTCATTAGGGAAGCAGATGACAATCAGAATATATAAAAACTGAAAATGTTCTAACCTGGGAATGATGACCAGTTGATCAATATGTCATCATCCTTCTTATTCGCAGATTAGATAAAACAATTCCATATAAACTATTTGTGATAGGAGTGCATTATGCAGTTGATTTGCAACGGATTAAGGACGATGAGTGTAGGCTCAACAAGATTTTACAACTGGAGCTCTTCTATGTATACTTGCGTATCCTACTGATCATATCAATTCCATGATAACAATGAGTATACCATGAAGGCCAGAGTAAACCTTTGGCCTGTTCAACCTTTGTCTCTTGATACGATCAAAGTTAATCTCGGACATATATTTATGCAAGACATCTGTATACTAGTTTTAATATTGAAATTTAAATATCTTCCCAAAAAGTAATTGTTGCATAAAAGCTGACTTTGCAGTGAAAAAACGTGAAAGGCCATGACTCTTCATCAGTTGTCTTTTGAAGTTATTTAACTTTGGTAAGGACAAAAAGAATTCGAGGATCTGGATACTCAACTGCCGTATCTCCAAACAGTGTTGCGTTTCCAGAGTTGTCGCATCCCAGGTAGAGGCCGCCATTATAGTGCTTGAACATCGTGAAGCTCCAGAAGTAATCATGCTCAAAAGATTCACCGTTTCCATCAATGTCATCTATATTCTTGCAAATTGAAGGTGAAAAAGATAATTTTAAAGATAGTCATCCGCTATCCTTAATAAGCGCGCATTATTATTATTATTTCTCTACTATGCCATATTACGGCAACGAGACCCGCAAGAAATACCACGGTGCTGCAATATAGACACAGGCTAAAATAAGGACGGAAAGTGCAGCATCAAAATGGCTGCACCAGGTGGAAAGGGATGACCCCATCTTTTTCTAGTATTTGTGGGCGTCAGTTCATCACCGCCAATGTGACGCCACGGAGTAATATAATACGCGCTTCGCTGGGCTAAATGAGGCGTGCTCAGTATAGCGAAGGGACGTCATTAGTAGCCAACAAAGAGAATGATAATACACATGTGTTATTGACCAGCGATGAGGTCAATATGGGTGGAGAGTGGCCGGGTGTTGCTTTTATATGGACCGATTCGAGGTCCATAAAAAATGCACAAAAGAGTTACGGCAAGGGTAATATCAAGCCATCTTGACTGAGCAAGCTTGGTCAATAAGGGATTTATTATATAACAAAAAGATTTCTCTTAATAAGAGTCAAGAAAGACTTCATTATCTTCGAGCGCTGGGAGAGAGAACCAACCGTGAGAACTGTGCACAGAAATTATGAACATTCTTCAGGTCCTTGCGCAACCTTTTTTCTTACGTGAAATCGAAGTGGGCAACTGTGGACTTTAAAGGGAACAATGAGACGAACCATTAACAAGAAACATGCGTAATATAGCGTTTATTTTTTTTTAGGATCAGGATATTTCCGAATCGCCCCGAGAGCTCCGGGAAAAGGGAAAAACCAACCGAAAATTCTCAACCGACGAATCAGCCACTTGGTAGTATATTTTTATTTGTAATATATAGCTCCTGCTTTTCTTATCCTAACTCAAACTACATAAAAAATTATATCATATTGTCTATATCTTGTTTCCAAATTTTGCAGAAGATAACGAGTAACACATCTGCTCGCCATATTGAAAATCAATGAATGTACGTTACAGTGTCAATGATGACTAAACCAAGATTAACCTGGAGACGCCCCTTTCTCCTGAACCACGCTAAACAATTCACACTAAGATTTTTTTTCTGGGTAGATCAAAAGTAACAAATCCCTTCTTCTGTAACAACCACATAGCGCCCACTCACCTTAATTGAATTTAATAAGCAAGGTTTTCCCTATTGGACACAAGGTTTGAAGATTGGGGAATATCGGTTGGGTATATCCTCGGATATCTTCCAGTTTTTGCCGGAGGATATTCGGTCACCTGATGCGTTTAGACCAGTCGCTCGTAAGAAAAACAAATGTGATGGATTACAGTCCTTTATATCTCTTCTTTGCTATTATCCAGCTTCTCTTGCTAAAAATTATGAATTACCCTGACCATTATGAAAGTTTTAGCCGGAGGATATTCGGTCACCTGATGGGTTTAGACCATTTGCTCGTAAGAGAAACAAATGTGATGGATTACAGTCATTTATATCTCTTCTTTGCTATTATACAGCTTCTTTTGTTAAAATTATGGATTACTATCACTGTTATGGTTAGAAAATCCAACTCACCTTGCCGATTGGCATTCAGTCATTTTTACGTTGGAAAGTAAACCAAATAATTACATTCTTCATCTCGAGATCTAATTCCACCGCCATAGAGGATAGGTTCGTTCTACACCTAACACATAATATGGATTAGATGTGGATTAGGAATTGGTTTGTGAAGAATGAGTGCCGTCTGAGTGGGCGAATAAGTAAGTAAATATCCATTTCTTACCTTTGCTGTGATAGTTCTGCTTGCTCCATCTCCTACCAGTAATAAACTGTCGACGCCAAGGACAATACAGTCTATGCAAGCAGATGTGTTATCATGAGACATAACTACGATTCAAAGAAAAGAGACTAAAATTACATATATTTAAAAAACACAGCGATGGAGACAAGTTAATGCAGAGCTAGCAGCGCGCACAAAGCGTAGCCCCATACTTATAAATTCTGGCAAGAGACGAGAACGTATCGAACGAAATTACTATGCTGGCACATCAACTACAAACTAAGATGGAAGAAAGAGTCGAGTCGAGTACCTGTCGTTATGCTGAGAATGAACGAGAAAAAGGGGAAGCGAAAGAAATCTTATCCTAATTTTTTTCAGCGTCAAGAATGGTTTGGCATTTGACAATAAAAATCTGCGATAAAATATTATAAAACATAACACGACGTTTCGACGTTTCCAGAACGTCATTATCAAGTGAACTAGAATAATAAAATCGAGTATATATATAATGAAGCGGTGAATAAATTACAAAGCGTTAAAAGTTAAACAAAGAGTTTGGCCCTAATGGAATCGCTCTGGGTGTTTAAATTGGGCCTTATTGTTCTTATGTACAACATTTCATAAACGAGACAATCCCATTTCGTGCCATATTTTTTAAGCATTCTAAACTGGCTCTCATTGAGTAAGTCAATGTTCCCATGGGCATCTCTCAGGTGGCGACCAATGGCAGAGTATCGATGATCAGCAATGCGTTGAAACAAATGGCGCGTCGTATATCCGACGTAATTTGAATCACACAAATCACATTTAAAACAGTAAACAACGCTATGCTGACTTACGATGCATGGCTTGATTTCTTTAAGCTTTAGGTCCTGCTCAAGTTTCTTACTGGTGTAGACTGGTTGTACATCAATGAACTGAGATCGCGCATTTGTCTTTTGGCAATGTTCGCTGAGACTTGATCTTTGAAAGGAATACTGACTCTTAAAGTTTCATCAGATTTTGTCTTAGTATCTGGTGTAGAGGAATAATCACATTTGTCGATAATACAGTTCACCAAAGAACTAGGGTAACCAAGGCGATGAAACATAGATTTTAGATGCCTACACTCATCGACGAATGCTTGATGCGTAGAGGACAATTCCTTTGCACGATGAACCATCGTTTTGATAAGACACTTCTTGTAGCGCAAATCGGTGTGACTTTGAAAATGAAGTAAAAGGCCCGTGTTCGTAGGTTTACGATAGACCTGAGTCTCCAACTTGTTGCCGTTCTTTGTTATCAACGTTCCAATAAAAGGAATTGAATCAGCTCACTCAGCTCACTCAACTTCTCAGAATGGCTTCCACGGATCAACTTTTCCAATTTGATGGTCAACTTTGCGAACAGTGTGAAGGAGTTGCTATGGGGTCCCCCCTTGGTCCTTTGTTGGCGAACGTGTTTATGTGCCATCTGGAAGAAAGACTATCTGACGATGATTTAATTCCTTCTTATTACAAGCGTTATGTCGACGATACGCTTGCAGTAATGCCTGGACTCGATGCAGCTGAAAGTTTCCTCAATGTACTCAATGGACTCCACCCTAGTATTCATTTCACTATGGAACTTTCCAAAAACGATTCAATTCCTTTTATAAGGCCAAACTCTTTGTTTAACTTTTAACGCTTTGTAATTTATTCACCGCTTCATTATATATATACTCGATTTTATTATTCTAGTTCACTTGATAATGACGTTCTGGAAACGTCGAAACGTCGTGTTATGTTTTATAATATTTTATCGCAGATTATTATTGTCAAATGCTTTACCAAATCTTTACTTATAAGAATGGTTAGGTAACGTTATTCCGGATGATAAAATCTGAAGCCATTCAAACTAGAAACATCATGTAACCTTTAGACTTGACTCGTCAGCCATTTGAATATTGTATGGCTTGTTTAAATATTCGTATCAATAACTCGCTTTTCTTTCAACAATTCTTAACTGATATCAGATATCTGAGGCGTCAATGACCACTGCACAGATTTATAGACTGCCGGATCTGTAGCATTTGTTTTTGTCATACATTTGTTTTGTTTTGGTTTTTCTTTTTTAAAGAACGCGCACAGTAATTTGATTTACGTTTAATTTGTCTTTGGAGAACCCGTTAATCAGATGGGAAATTTTTTAGACCGCAAGTAAACATCGAGGTAGAGGAGGAAACTAAATCGTTTCTCGGCCAAAACATACCTATATTTCCTGCTGTTCTCTTTGATTTCCTCGAATTACAGTAAATGGTTTGTCTAAATGGACAAGCTATCACTTTCTCTTTGCAATTCACCTTCAATGAAACTGGAAGATTCCGCGAGCTTTCGGCTACAGTTCTGTCACTGAAAAATGTGAGGAATATGAAGATGGCTCCTCTCAGAATAAGTGGCTCAGCTTTTTCTTTAATTAGATCTAGTTTGTTTTGGACTTATCAGGAAGCGGCATGACGCGGACATGCTTATATGCGTGCCGAGGAAGCGTTCGGGCGACTGTCGTGGGCCTCAAGCAAAGTAAACTTAGGTATCATCACTGAGTTCGCTACAGACTCCTTACCATCAATCATCACCTCCTCTAAATGTAAAACGATTTCGCGATCTATCCGAAGAGTTTGCAACCGATGGTGTCTAACCCAATGAACATGGCCAACAGGAGGAGCAAACATACTTGTTCTCATCTACTGCATCGAGAATATCAATTTGTACTTTTAGTAAAGCGGTCTCAGTGTAGGCATTCGTAAGCTGACTGATACCTTACTTTAGCCCCGACAGCTCTTTCAAAGATCATTCTTACAAACGTTAAATCAGATATGGGCAGTTCATAATTGCGCTAGTAAAAGAGAGATCAATCTACGTACTCCCAGCGGCCCCCAAAGTCCCTTTGCAATCTACGGTACCTTCATTATTCAACACAACGAGACCACTTTGCCCAAGGTTCCATAGTTGATATTTAGTTTCGATCTGCACTAAATGAGGCTTTTCATAGATGCTTGTCGGCGGTGGCGGTGTCGGTGTCGGTGTCGGTCCCCTGTCCGAGATAGAAATATTTCATCCTCTAAGGAAACAGTAAATAATCATCACCCTCGCGATGCTGGTTTATATAAGATTTGAAAAGGTGAGAATTCATACTATGTTAATTGTTTGATAAGCTTAAATTTAAAAGTCCGGTTAGAGGCCTCTCTTGCTTAATCAGTAAGGAGGCCCGGTGGGGATTCTGAGTTAGAATGAGGAGTTCAGTTACAAAATAATAATAATAAAAAGAAAATATACACATACATACATACACGCATACATGCATACATACATATACATATATATATATATATATATATATATATATATATATATATATATATATATGTATGTATGTATTGCTGTCAATTCTATTAGAAATGACATCTATAACTATAGTGTTGATGTGAGGAGATTCCTAATTGATGGGGTACGGAAGATCTTATCTAAGTTGTAATAACTGAGTAAGAGAACCTAAGAACCTAAGGAGGACAATTTAGTAGCGCACGTTTGGCCTCTAAAATAAGACGTAGAGGTATTTTTATAGCTGTTTTGTTTTGTTTTGTTTTTTTCTAAGATCCTATCATATTTCTTTTCCTGAAAAATTAAAATTAAAATTTATAATACAAAGTTATGACTGCATTCTGGAAAAAAAACTTACGTAAAGGTTGCTGTTGGTTTCGTACCTTTACAATTATCAATGAGTAGGAGACAAACGATCCACTTAACTTACTAAATATTAAGTTTGAATTAAGAAAATTTTTAAACCTTACCCCTTCATCATGTAAAGTGCAACCACACTACATGCTAGAGCGGTGTTGCTAACGAGATGTGCCCACCCCAATGCAACCCGATGTAGCTTCCATGTCCGACCCTACAAAAGTAGGAGAGATTTAATTGGGAAGTAAACTAGATCCGTCTCTTTTTATTTTTAACCGGGAAATGTTACACGGTTATATCAGTCCATTACAACAGTCTTAAGATATCTTAATTTACTCTAAAATATGATTTGCCTTCAATTTCATTGCTTACCCTTTTTTGAGTAACACATTTGCCCAAAGATTAGCATACTGCTCTCCAAATCGAAACTTGGCTGAGATTATTTAAATTAAAGTATTTTTGCATAAGATAGGAAGATACAGCTTTCCTTTTATTTCACAGTTTCTTCATTTACTCGGAAGAATCAATAAAAAATATCAGAGGAATATGCCGGGGGATAGCTTGTTATGAACTTGAAGATTAATCCCAATTATTAACTATTATAATTCACCGGAAGTTTAGCTACATTTATCACAGACAATCTGAGTCGGCAAGTGGCTCATTTCCCGTTGTGTTCCTACTTTTCCCTAATCCTCCTTTCATCATCCATTGTATTAAATGAATAATTCTTTGATACAATTGTATCAAGATGGGAAATGGCAGCCCTTTTTCGAGGAACTAGTGGATCAAAGGCCTGGATACTGCTATATTCAGGAAAGAAGTACAAAGGTTTCATGGAAGTTCTCAGAATGCAGCCAAAACTAATAAAACTGATCAGGAATGCTGCTGCGGGATGTGGGTATCAGCAGGCTCTACAGGGACAGGGCTATCAACCAGTGTCCATCTGGGCTCCCCTTGAAAAATTTTCAGGGGAGTGGGGTGTGTCATTAAACATAAAACGAGAAAATGGAAGTTCAATTAGTTTCTTTGCGTTTTGTCTTAAATTGGAACTAAATGGAACTTTTCATTAACTTTTGGAGGTTTTCTTTCAGGGACAATTAGAATAAGTTAAGCGATTTTAAAACGTAATTAAATAAGATGATATGATTCAGGAAAGATAAATTTTAAGTAGAAAATGTGAGCTGAAAGGTTTTTTTAATAGTCAGCAGAAAATAATGAAAAACTTCAAAATCCGATCCATACTAGTCCGGGCCAGCACCAGTTTTATCCAGACCTTGACGTCATGAAACATTATCCATCATCAAATCATTATTCAGTATTCATTAATAATTAATAATGCCGACGAATAATACTAATGAATCATGCTTGTGAATAATGCTTATAAATAGCGGTGATAAATGATAATTAGTATTAATAATACTATGAGTATTGCCATTACCGAGCCGCGATGCGTTCAGGTAAATATTCATCACTTCTACCTTCCACTTCGGTGAATAATTGTTTATAATCATCATCATGATGTTAATTTATAGATAAATGAGAAAGAGAGACGCACACCAGACAAGACGACCCTGGTTCTGAACAAAACCCAGTGTTTAGGGATTTAATTTTTCTATTTCGAAATGGATGTCAGGAGGTGGCAATTGTTCATGAACTAAGTTTCCTGCTGTTTTGATCTGATATTCATCTAAGACTTTCTTACCCTCTTTGTTTGTTTTAAAGAAACATCCCCTCAGAGATAGAAGTTCCCTTTGTTTCGTGTTCATACATTTCGACCGCATCAGCTGTTTTTGAATCCATCTTTATATCTATAAACATTAAATATAGTTAAATGAATATAGTACTAAACATTAAAATCAAAAAATCAAAAAACAAAAGTTAAAAAAAAAATTAATAAAATATTTCATATACTATTTTATCAGTGTGATAATTGTTCTTCTAATGAGATTAGGAAACGACGAAGAAATACTGATCGTTCTTTAACGCCGGAACCTCTGATTAAAAATAAAACGCTTTTTCGTCTTTCAAAAGAAGGGTACTTAGAAGGGAGTTTCTAGAACTCGATGCGTTTAGGTTCTACTTCGCCTTACAGAACAAACAAAAATATTTTAAGTTGGTCTAGAAAGAAATAATCTGATTGGGACCGAAACACATTTTCAGCCAGAATGAGTGAATATTACACAATAACTTTAGCTATTTGAGGTTTCCCTTCATCGGGACACAAACTTCCAATGTAAAATGCACAGTTTGGTTTGCTGCAAAACCTATTTTTTTATTCATTTTTTCACTTGTTAATTAACCCTGCGACCTTAACTCTCTCTTATACCATCTGATAATGGCGGCGACTTCTCGTAATATGTGACGGAAGGTTAAGAGCGAAGAGGGATGGAAGGGAAACGAAAAATATCGAACAGCTCGGCTGAACTGACCAACTGGAGAAAAGTCTAACCCTGAAAATCCGCTTGGCTAACAGAAAGCAGAAATATGTCACATATTTCTTAGTAAACGTACGTCATTGCTTTACCATTAGTATAAGTCGAGTCTTTGAATACCTTGAAGCTTACTGACAGACGTGATGTTTCTTACGCAGTTGTAAGACAATTTGTTAAAAAGAATAGCTATAGCCTTAGAAAAAACGATCACAGATAATAAGATTACCCGTTTGGTCTGAAGTTATCGACAGATAATGACACCGGGTCGCCTACGTCATGCAACAACAACAATAACAACCTTTGTAGCAACCAGAATTTCCAGTTATTACGTAACTGTATTTTTTCGTGCTTTTCGTTTCCGCTTAGCATGGTTTTTGCGCTTTTGTAGCCTTTATTACCATTGGTCAGTAAGTCTTACATTGTGAGTTTATTCCTGATCCGATGAAGTGTTGATAGCAGAGTTCCTTACCAAGGATCTCAGAGTTGGTTTTTTTTTTTTGGTGTTTCGTCTGACCACAAGTTTTTGAGATATATTTGAAACTTATGATGTCCAAAATGGAAAGTTTATCAATCCTTAAAATGTGCTCTTGGCCATGCTTAAAGGTATGCGCTTTTGATTTTATTTCCATTACCGAATGATTCCGGTATTTTATCCGTAATCATGTTCTTATGACTTAAAAGTTTTGCTCTTCCCTTTTCACCATATTGTCTTTTTGCATTTATTTCATAGTCCGCATACACAGCAGTGAAGAGTCTTCATAAGCTTTATTTTATAATAAGCACAACAGGACAAGCAATTTGCTTGGCTGTCAAATGAAAGGCTTCCACATGTGGTCAAGAGGTTTAACAAGGAAGTATGGTTTGTAGAATTTACTTCTTATCTGGAGCATTGGAGCAGTGACATGTTTCACAGTTTTAAACAATTTTGAGGTGTCAACTGAAACATAAACAGAAGAGGAAGGAGGTGGAACATGAGAAATTACGCTATTTTAAGTCGTTTGTGACCTTCCGAAAGATGACGCAGAGGTTTTGTTGCTTTTTTTTTTTCTTTAACGTCAGGCTTAAGATATCGAAACCTACCCCAGCATGTTTACTTTATGACACGTTTTGTGGGTTTTCGGCGCTTTTGATCCTATTTCCATCACCAAATCATAAATTTTGTCTGTAGTTATATAGTTTTAAATATAATGGGTGCCAAGTAGGCTCAGCTTAGCTCTAAATTTTGAAGTCACTCGATAGCGAAAAGGCACATTGGACGTGCTCTTCGGGACTAGAACTCAATGAACCATGTCCTGCCTAACCAAAGGTTTAATACGATTCAGTACGGAAGCGTCGACATCTCGCCCCCTCATATTTCTTTTTCCGAGTTTAATGTGTAATATCCACTTAGATCCATGAGTCCTTCCGAAAAGTAAAGCTAAGCAGTTTAATGATTGACGTCAGGCCTTAGATACCCAGAAACATCCAGACATACTTGCGGTATTCAACTATTGCTTCACTTACGGCGTCGCTGAAAAATTAAAACCGGCCAACTTGAATCTTTAAATACTCCAGGGATACTGTCCGTCCGTATTGGTGAAGGTGTGACTTTGTAAGTCTTGTAACTTGACTTGCTTTAGCTAATGTGTCAGAGACTTTAGATAATAGCGAAGAGTGAAAAATGAGTGGGATAACCACGCTGCAACTCGTCTTTCCCTCTTTTGTTTATTGACCGTAATTAACTTAAGGTTGATATTTGATATACGTTGCAAACTGTAAAAATATCAGAATGGATGTAAAAAATCAATCCAGTTTAAGAATCAACGTTAAGGCTTTTAAGGCTGGCAGAAGTCTGTATTTATTTTATGCGCCACACGCAGTGGTATTCATTCAAAAACATTATCCGGTCATTCGGAAAAATTATCTACTG